TTGAGGGCGGATTCCAGTGGAAGACAGAGAATTCATATAATGGGGTTACAATGTGTAGGTGCACGAGCGCCATTCTTCGCGATACTCAGCTATATCACTCAGTGACTCTAACCATCGATTATAATAATCTCGGGACCCTAAACCAGGGAGGCTCACGACACCTATGTGAACCAGTGTCTAGATTTTTGACTGACAGCCCTTGGCTATTTTCTAACCAATCACTAGCTCGGCAAGCATTGCCCGCCGTGGCAACCTATTTGACGACATGCGTAACACATGTCCCAACCAGCGTAATCTATGGAGGTAGACTATTTATTCCAGTGAACGACCGCGATTACCTAAAATTCTACGCCTAACATGAGTATTGCTTTTCCGGTTTCCTAGCCAGACTCGTGCAATTCTGCGCAGATAGTAGTGTCAGAAAACTAAGACAATCGATTTTTACTCTGTTCCGGTATTGGCCGAACTGCTGCAGCATACATTCGACACTTCACAGACAGTCAGATGTCACGACGGCGCCACAAATGTCTCAAGTTAGCAAATGCCAAACGAGCCTTCTGTATTCGTGCCAACACCACATCTGTGACGCGTCCGCCAGATGAAATATAGTCGCCCAGGTAGCGGAATTCGTCTACTTCCTCTACTATTACCCCAGTTGCAGTGAGGTTGGGGGTTAAGCTAACCCGGTCTCGTAGTAACATTTTACACTTCGAAGGTGCAAAACGCATACGTTGGCACTCAAGCTATTCAGAAAAGCTTGTAAGTTATCTGGTTCCTCACTTTGCAGCACATTGTCGTCTGCGTACTCCAGATCAGACAGTTTATCACTTGGGAGTACTCACCACCACTATCCTCGCACAAACATAGGGTTGTCCCAAGAATGAAATCTATAGCAAAGTAAATTAGAAAAGGAGAGAGACAGAAAAACAGCGAGGATAACCCTGAAGAACACCACTTTCCGTAGAAGGAATACCGTAAACTCGAACTCAGCTTCAGCTATTAGTATAAGGAGGTAGCTAAATTTATAATCTTCTCAGGCACAACCTTCAGACCGAGACAGCGCTGGAGTTTTGAGCGGTCTACTGAGTCGAAAGCCGCTTTCAGATCACGGAAGATAGAAATAGCGGGACCACAAAAGGCATGCGTGAGGATGAGGTCGGATTTAGAGATCGCAAAGTGCTGATTCAGGTAGGGTTCTGTATGCGTGTTTCGGAGACACAGTATACATTTAGACTGAAATGATCAAAGGCTCTAGCTAAGGCAGTTTGTTGGCCGACCTGATAGAGTGTGCAGACAATAAATGCGGCTAAGGGAAAAGGAGAATTTGGTTTCAAGTATCTGATAGTTTCTGCTTGACTGACTTTACTAGTAGAACGCAGAGTGATATCCCATGGGTGGTACAAACAGGAGGTATCTCGCACGATTTGGAGTCAGAGGAAGAACGAGGCAGATTAGAAAGAGCGCTTTCAAAATGGGTACCTACTATAATGGGGCACAACATACTTCGCGGTGGCATACACCGACTAAGGTGCTTTTTGGGGAGGCTTGACTGGAGGCTACGGCTCAAAAGTGTTACTCACAAGGCAGTGGGGCGTAGATCTATATCGGAGCTTCTATAGACCTGACATGCAAGGCCTTTGGGTTTCGGTTCAGTGTTAGCTGGTGTGATGATTGACGATCCGCTTTTCGAGATTGGACCGCAGTCTCATAAGCCCAATGGAACAAGCGAAACGTGAGCGGAATAGCACTTTATTTGCTGCGGGATGCCAAGCTCGGGCGGGAGGCAGCTGTCCGACGAAGGAAGCCCTGGATAACCAGCTCATACTTCTGTCTAGCGGATTTTTAGGTCGGTAAACGGCCTCTCCTCGTGTTTATTTTCTGGAGTGAATTTTCCCCTGGTCGAGAGTGGATACTAAGAGGAAAACAGGGGGTGCCCAAGCAGCCGGCCTTATGGGGCTGAGCTTCATCTAGTCTCTGCTCATCAACCTTTCAGGCATGACTAGATGTGCGGCTGTGGGCAGCTACTGTGCATAGCTCGCGGGTTCATGAAGGTGCGCAAACAGTCACCCCACTTCAAGGTACAGTTTTGTCGTAATGGAACAAACAAAAAGGTGATATGAGACGCTTGATCAGGTTACATTGACATATGAATCGCGTTACGCTACCCAGTTACGTTCCTCAGGATCAGTGGCATCCATGATTATAAAAACTAAAGAAACTGAAATTTAAAGTAGGGCAATACATCCATAGGAAGGCTTTTTTTTGTTCTCTGGCCAACCACGTGTGATAACTCCTTTAAGTTCTTGCATACTCGGAT